AAGATGTTACTTAGGACCATGGACATTCTAATGACGTTTGCGACATCATCACAGGAAACGAAACTTGGATTTCCTGTATTGAACCAGAGAAAATACTACAATCTTGTAAATCGGTGTTTAAAAACGAGGCAAAATTGAAGCAGGCGAGGAACGTCGGAAAAAAATTGCATTTGTTTCTTGCGCACGGATTCCGTTGACACAGTCCCACTTGAAGTTCAAAGAAGTATTAATGCCGAGTGGTACACCACCATTTGTTCACCCGCTGTTCTTGAAAAAGTACGAGAAAGAAGACCGAGAAGCCGCATCTTCTTACACCACGACAATGCTTCTTCGCACAACGCCAATAAAACAATAACATTTTCGGCCTCTGAAAAAGGAGAAGTTGTGACCCATCCAGCACACAGTCTAGACCATGAACTCTGTGATTTCTCTGTTTTTCCTTAAATTAAACATTTCATGAGAGGCTTCATTTTTACAACTTCCGAATAGGCAGTGACGGCGTTTAATCAGCACGTTAAAACATGCCACCAGACCAATGGTCATATTGTTTTGGAAAATGACTCGAACGTATGAAAAAATGTTTCAAATGTAAAGGAGAATACTTCGATAAACAAAGAATATAATTATATACTTATAACTTGTTTAATTAATAAGTTACGCAAAACTTTCAGTGCGGCCAACGTAATTAGAATTGTAACACATTTAATTGATTAAATACACAACACTATCATCAATAGCACCAAATGAATGTAGTTATTTTGCCCTAAGGAGTTTTTTACTATTAAGAACCGAAAAGAACCGGGTACTCGGTTCTGTACGGACCCGGAACCGAAAAACCCGGTTCTGAGATACGGACCGGTTCTGCATCCTCTAATGTGTATGTGTATGATTCCTCATTAACGTTATGTTGAAACTATTGGTTTGTTATATTTGGAAATGGGAAAAATTTCGTACGTAGTACAACCAAACTGCGGCTATATTAGTAGTATAATTGTAACACAAATTGGTCGTCTCGACCGGGGAAGGATCACGTTCTCACAGAATATCAGCGTAAAATAGCAGCTTAACGCTGCTTTGTTTCGTATGGTGAGTGTAGAGAAGCGGAGACTCTTTTTTTTGGAAAGGAGGTACTCCATCTTAGTCCACACGGGTGACAACGCATTTGCATTTTGATTCGTAATTGAGAATTGTTGTAGATGTCTATGGACCACAGCAACCATTTACCATCAGGCGGACTGTGTGAACGTTTGTCACCCTTATCCTATAAAGAAATTGTATCATAATATAAATGCATGCTACCTAACGCTATGTATTTGTTTGTATTAAGCTATTTAATATGTGCGTATTAGGAAATAAGTACGGGCGCATTTTTCTGCCACCAAAAATCTGAGCTGTTTGTCAGATTGTAAAACGTGCAATTGTGTAAATATTCTATTGTGGTTCATAATTAAATAATTATATGTACTTGTGAAATTGAGTCCTAGTTTCTAATTCCTCGCCATGTAGGGGCGGCGTAAGTTAATATACTGCCCTTCGATCAACTTGTTGATCGAAGATACTGCCTCATAATATCATCCCGTGCGTGTAAAAGAGGCGAGAGATGTAAATGAAATAGGAGATGGGAGATATAAAAAACTACGGTTGGCAAAATGAATGCCAAGCGTGAAAACTATGGCAAAATCTTCCCTTTGAGGCTTTGAGTATTAAACCAAAGGAGACGGCATCGCAAGGCATACCCCTCTGTAAAAGGTACGAGAGTCCGACTCATACTCGTTATATAAAACTAGTTGCTCCGCGTCGTGCGTCATTCCGAAGTGATCGTGCCAGTAAATCGAGCTCCGACAAAATGCCGAATTGCAGTGTATTTACATGAAAAAAAAAACAATCAAAAACGTCAAGTATACAAAAGGAAAATGTGACTTTTCATCTGTGAGTATTTTTAACATAATATTAAAGTAATTTTATCATTAAAACTCGTACTTTGTGAATATTATCGTCCAATACCGAGTGTTTCCATCATAGATCATAAAGTGAAAAATAATCTATTTTTAAATAAATATAATTTACTACACAAGTTATATATATTAACTAAAATATATTTCCTAATAACTAAATCAGTTTGCGAAGAATAATAATCATTACATATAGATGTGTAGTGGATTTTGTTAAATAATTTATGTATTCACCTCAATTTCAACACGATACTGAATATTATATAATTAAATATAATCGATAACTAGTATTTATTATAATATTATAAAAAATACAGGCCAAATAGGTCAAATCGAAACTTGCTACTTCGCAGTGTGCAATTTTTATGAAAATAAACTGATATCACTGCAACCGAAAGTATTGCACTATGGTGCACTACGCTGCAACTTTAGCTATCGATAAGTTAATTAACCATGCCATTTGTCTGCCGAACCGGTTTGTAGTTTTTATTTAGATTTTATAATAAAGTATTACAAAAAGTAGTAAATTTTTCTATTATTGGTTTGTTTTTACAGATTTCCAAGAGATCCTCTTAGGCGCCACACTTGGATTGTAGCTTGTAGAAACCATGAATCTGACACTGCAGTACCAACCTTGAACTTCTGGGAGGTAATGTTGGGCTGTATGCATGGCATGTAGCTCGTTTTAAGTTTTTTAACACTTGTATTTTATTTACTCATGTTTTACAAAATAAATATCTTTATCTTTATCATATATAGCTTGAATCTCCTGACTAAAATAAAATTATTTATTTTAGGGTGATCGTGGTGATTGCACAATATCGTCTACATCGAAAAAAGAAAGCTGGATGTTCCGCCAAAGCTGTTAGCCAAAGGCATTATGTATATAACCAAAATGTCTTTTAGAACATGCATGGTACTCCGTCAATTGTTTTATTTTCATTTCATCTATCACTAATATACAATATAATTTTGTTGTCAGGGTTACTCTCCAGTCTAAGTTTTAAAACAGTTAACGCTTTTTTTTGTGTAGCCAAGTCGGCCATAAATTGTACTGTACCACTTTGTTATAGTATGTGATGAAGGCAGACCAATTTCAAAACTTTTGATATTTCGCACATATTGTTAAGCTTTCGGTGAATAGTAATGTAAAGTTAAAGCAAAACATCTTTCTGGGCAATAATTAGACCTAGGTAGATGTCACGTTTTATTTTTAAGCAGTTGTCTGCTTAAAGTTCACTTTGTTAAACTATTATATAGTGTAAACTTTTTTGTTTTCCTAATTTATTAAATATTTTCCAGATAGTTTATTTAATAAATCTTGAAAATCAACAACTTTTTTTAAATAGCGGTTTTGTGATTGAAGCCTTATAATAAAAACAAAAACTTGGTTTACACCATCTAAGACGATAAACTGATAGGACTTTTGTTTTCATAAATCTGATTTTAAAATAATAACTAAACCTATTTCATTTGTAAATTTTTAAATTTTATCCTGTATAATGTAAAATAAACCTGTAGCAAAATAATAAACTTATTTTCAAACATTTCTAAGTTTTTTTTCCTAAGAACATTTCTAAATACTTTAAAAAAATTCAAATAACACTTTCGTATTACTTAGAATCAAATAAAAATTTATGCGGACTATGTTGATTTGTCTATCGATAAAAAATATCGACATAGTCCATGCCTTACGTTGCTTACGCACTTAGACAGCGCCATTATGTATCGACACGTGTACGAATGCGTAAACAAAAAATTTGCTCAATTCTGTCAACATCAAAACTCAAAGCTTTGAGGAAATAAATTTTATACGTGGTAGAGCCTTGTTACAGTTTTAAATAATTGAAGCACAAACGGGACCAGAGTAACAACCACGCTCTCACAGAATACCAGCGTAAAATAGCTGCTGTGTTTCGTATGGTGAGTGTAGAGATCCAGAGACCCCTTTTACTCGATACGAGGCATTCCATATTAGTACTAAGGAGTGACAAGGCAACTGCATTTTGATTCTTAATCGAGTTTAGATGTAAATGTCTATGAGCCACAGCCTCCACTTACCATCAGGTGAACTGTGTGCTATAAAACAAATGGTAGAATTAAAAAAATTGTACAACCAATGGCAATATAAATAAAATGAGAACATCATCAATGTAGTCAATTAAATACGCATTGTTAAAGATAACTGAAAAACTATTGGTCAGATCTTAATCAAATTACAATATGGGACCACATGAGAAGCGCCAGCTTTCAAATGAAAAAGCGTCGTCAAAATCGGTTCAACTAGAAAAAAGTTCTGAGTAACACGCTTAAAAAACAAGTCGAATTGCGTACCTCCTTCTTTTTTAACGTCGGTTAAAAATGAAGGAGGATTCATCATTTTTATAGATTCTAATCTTGTTCTAATAGATGAATGAAATCATTCTATTTCCAGCTGAAGTAAATACTGATCTGAGGCCAATATTTAAAACATAGCAGCCAGGTTCGTTGATCACTTGTCCGCGCGACTGTATTAAATACGCATATATACTATTATTATTCATCATCATTATCAGTATTACACAAGTCAACTGCTGAATATAGGAATCTCGCAAAGAATACGATAAACACGGCCTTTAGCGACCTGTATCCATCTACTTCCTGCATCCTTTACCAGGTCGTCACTCCGTGGATAAATATTTAGACTTTGTGTAATTAACTAAAAGCCTAAGATTTGAACTCGCGGTACAACGGCGCTAGATGGAAATGCGCTTCTACGCCGTCAAGACTACAAAAAGCTATTATTGTGTCTGACCTACCCGTTTCCTATACAAACCCAAAAAAAGCAGAGGTTGTGTTTTATTTCATGCTGGTATTTCAAGACGGGACATATGAAACATTAAACCATACGGCGTCTCTAAAATACACGTATCTGATTTTGTTAAGATGGGGTTACGCAAGTACTTAGATATCATATCGGTGGATATTATAAATAGAGTCTATTTACATCTAAGTATACTTTAGCACTAATTTATTTAAAAATATTATTTTCTCATTTCAGTGACAAAGATGAAGCAGCTTAATACCTTTTCACTTTTCCTGCTAATCGGATTTGCCGTTACCGCACCAGCACCTGACAAAAGTAAGGAGAGTAAAGAAAGCGTAGAAAGTAAGGAAAGCAAGGAGAGTGGCGAAAATGACCAAATCACTGTAACCAAACATTTTTTCCCGGATTCTTATATAGTATATAGAGGTAAACATGAAATTGTAAATATTATTGTTCCCCTAAATTCACTGAACTTTGATGATGATGCCGAAGACAATGACACAAATGATGATAGTGAAACTACTATATTCTTTGTCGAAGCTGATGAAGATGCAGCTGGCAATAAAATTGACAAAGGCCTCTATGTCCTTAAAGACGGTAAAGCTAAAAAAATATTGGATAACGGACGAGACGCCGCTGCTTCTTCTGATGACAGCAAGGACGTGTTTTTCGGTGCAAAGGACGGAATTTACAAATACGACCCAAAGGAAACCAAAGCTGTAAAATACGGTACACTAACAGACAGCATTATTGGAATCGCTAAAGAAAATGCCACAGATGTTATTTACATTTTAACTGAGGATCATGATCTGTACAAAGTCACTGAAGAAGGGCAGAAGAAAGTTAAAATTGATGACGTTGTAGGTGCTCGGGAAATCGTTTTGGATAACTCTAATAATTTATATTTCTACGGTGTAAATAAGAAACCGTATGTTGTAAATGCTGACGGTGTGAAGAAAATAGAAGGTTTACCTGAGAACCCGACTTCCGTCAGACTTATTAAGCCCCCTTTTTTACTGGAAAATGGCGTGCCTTTCACGTCTAATAATGTTGCATATCTTATTTATCCAAATGGAACAAGCGAAAGGACTGATTTCGATTTTAAATCTAATGCTAAACCATCGGCTTACGGCATGGAGGCGGCGCTAATTCAATACTACGGTTATCGTAAGAACATTTACGAATACAATATTCTTTCTCTTATCTTATCAGGGGTCATTGATGAATTGAAAAAATTCTTAGAAAATAAAGCGCCTACTATTCAGACATTGGCGACACGATCCAGAAGTTCCTTAAGGGCTCATTAAATGTATTGAAACTAAAGTATGATTAAACAAATTAATTTTGTCAAGTGTTTTTTTATATTCATATATTAAATATTCCTAAAATTTTTATTAGAGTCTATTAAGAGTCACAGCTAGACATGTCTCCTTCTAGAATGTAATAGCTAAAAATAAGGTGCTTATCAAAATAACATTACACAAAAAATAAAGCTCATGACCTTTTGTTTAATTCCATGAGAAGATAATTAAATAGGCGAATCTAATAAAATGTAGAAATCAAATACATATTTTTCATCGCACTCTATAGTACTGCAAGGTACAGTATTAAAAAAATAGACATAAAATAACCATCAGGAGAAAAACGATCGTAAGTGTCAATAGGTTTGTATCTATAAATCTTTCCTTTTTTACCAATTATAATATCTATTGTTTTTACGTCGACGTTACGGCCATATTATAGACGCCAAACTTTCCACGGCTGGACGCGCTACTGGACAAAGTAGTGCTATCCCAGCCTGGAGAATAAGAATTGAAGAACGTATCGCAAAGGTTAGGGCCCTCATCGGCAGACTGATATGCTACAGGTCAGGCAATACCAGGCCAAGGATTGTGCGCACAGTCAGAATGGAGTTTGCTAGGACAAATGTTAGTTTGTCCCACCTTGAATTAATGCAAAAAGTGACGGAGCTCATAGACGACCTGAAGCAGAGAATCGCTGCTTGGGGAAAGCGGATTCGGCGATATACCGAGAGGTTGACACGGTTCAACCAGAATTGTCTCTTCCAGAGTGATCAGAAGAGGCTCTATAAATTATTGGAGCGACCAATGGTAAGTGGAACGGGCCCAGCACCAAATCAGGCCGACATGGTCGCATTCTGGTGCGGCCTGTGGTCAGAGCCCGTAAACCACAGCGAGGGCTCTTGGACGGAAGTTGTGGCGAGTCAGTTTGCGGGTATTATACCCATGGACCCCGTTATCATAACTCCGACGACGTAGCTGAGGCGGTCCGTAGGGCCCCGAACTGGAAAAGTCCGGGGCTTGACGGGCTGCATCACTACTGGTTGAGGGTACTACAGACCCGAGCAAATACCGCCCCATAACGTATCTGCCGACCATATACAAGACACTAACATCCATTTTGAGCGCGAGAATGACTCGTCACCTGGACTCAAATCAGGTGATGTCGTGCGCTCAAAATAGATGTCGGGGCTGTGGTCGTGGAACCAAGGAACCACTTCTCATTGACGCGCTTATTGGCAAAGTGGTGAAACGCAACCGTCGGAACTTCACCGCCGCTTGGATAGACTATCGAAAGGCATTTGACTCGGTGCCCCATACATGGCTAAAGAGGGTCCTTGAGCTGTACAAATTACTGTACCATAGAAATGTTAAAAAAAGTGGCAAGGGGGCGTGTCTGTGTCCTCGCACTATGATCAAAATGCTCAGCTTCTATACAAATGGCCGTCTCTGCGAATCAGTGCGCTAGCGAACGTCATCGTGAAATATTATCAGAATGCCATGTTGTTCAGTGGATTCTTGTAAAAACAGAAGCCAAAACAAAAACTTTGTTAGTCATGGAATCATATACCACACCTAAGTACAAGTATTTTATTATATTTATCTTTAAAATCATATTAAACAACAAATCGTAAAATATTTCTTTCTCTTACTATGTTATTTTTGTTTCCAAATATCACAGCCACTGTAATATTTTTGCAGCAAATACATTTCTCCAAAACCACTACCAAGTATAACGCCAAGTGACTCAACAAGCAATGTAAATATCATGAAACAATACTTTATTTATGCGGATATATTGCGTAGTACGGCCGCTGTATCTTGAAACGAGCCAGTAATGTGCGTGTGCAGATCCACTATCGACAATAATGTGGATTGGCGAATTGCAATTATAGTTTATTCTCCAATTTATCAACCGTTTCAATCCAATAGGAAGACCGATGTGACATAATGTTTTTTACTTATTTTGATTATTTTACAGCAACTACTACGCTAAATGCGTAACCAAAGGTCGTAAAGTAAGTTGATTAAATTTTAGATTAAATAATCGATGGAGTATTCTTATGTTTGAATTATCGTATATTATGCATTATCTTCGAAAAATTTTCATAATTTTTATGGTTTTGGGGTTTAATATAATTTACAGTTTTCAAAAGTTTCGAATGTATCATAAATACCTAACCGGCATGGTTTTATAGTGACTATGGCTTAAAATTATTTAATATTTTTGCTATTTATTTGTTAGATATGAGTATGTATTTGTTTTCATATATATACCTAACAATATTATCACTAACCAGGAGTTTTTATAACAAAAGATCGCCAATCAAAACCTGATTAGTACATGGTGAGGTTAAAAAGTAGCTTAGGATGTATGAAAATAATAAATAGGTCGTATCGGTTGTACCTTTCGGCTTGCTAAATGATGTTAATTTAAAAAAGGAATGGATTGATGCCACTGAAAGGTCACCTGACTACGTTCCCTACTAAAACTAGTACTGGTCGTCGTAATTTGTATGCGAATTAAAATTATCATAAAAACAACTTGTCTCGTTAATGATAAATAAGCAATTAAAACTAAAAATGCCAAGCAGGAACTCATGGCAAAGGCTTTGTCAAATTTAATTTTTTTTAATGTTAAGTTTCACCAATTTGAGCAGTCCTCGACGAATAATCACAGTAAAAGCAGTCATGAAAAAATATATTAATTTAAGATTACACTATTTGACAAAGATGCCACCCCAGAAATATAAAAATGTCAAGTGCCCGATATTTTTGTGAGAGTAAGTAGTACGGTGAATGGTAAATGGACGTTGTGGTTTTAGAGATATGGTTTATAATTAATTGTGTAGTACGGTATGATTTATTAAATGCGAGTGTATGCGTGACTGCGTATCTATTGCTTTTACTGATCTGTATGTGTAGTAGTTGGCGCGTAGTAGGGACCAACTGGAGACACCGGATTCTGATACATTTTCAACTACTGGGCATATTTCCTTCATTATTATATATATGGACTGTACAGTTCGATACTTCCTCGGGCAATGTATGGGGCAATGGAGTACGATCCTCTATCATCTAGGCGAGCGGATGACGGCTACGGAAAGCCGCATAAGGATAAGAAGAGATATATTCCAGGGCGACTGTCTGAGTCCAATCTGGTTCTGCCTCTCTTTAAACCCTCTTAGTACTTTACTGGAGGGCTCCAGGAGGGGATTTCAGCTTCGGAAAGGAGGTACAAAAGTGACCCACCTTTTTATATGGATGACCTCAAGTTATTCGCCTCCAGTCGCTCCCATCTCGTAGAATTGCTAAACATCACTTGTGAATTTAGCAAATCTATTGGAATGGAGCTGGGGACGGATAAGTGTGCGGTCCTCCATGTTGAAAGGGGAAGGGTTGCTAACTCTGAGGGCATAGACTTATCTATGCCCATCAACTTAAGGACCCTTTCCGAGGCTGAAACATACCGATACCTGGGTATGTCACAGAACATCGGTATCGATGAGGCTGATATGAAACAGTCAGTTTGCGACGTGTTTTATGCACGCTTGACCAAAGTGCTTAACAGCCTTTTGTCCGGTGTGAATAAGACACACGCATATAACGGTTGGATCATGCCCGTCCTCATATATACCTTTGGCATACTCAGGTGGACTCAGACTGAACTTAATACCCTGGATAGAAAAGTCCGCACTACCATGACGTCCCATAGGATGCATCATCCGCGATCGTCGATAATGAGGCTGTATTTGCCACGAAAGCATGGTGGACGTGGCTTTTTGAGTGCGCTCACAATGAATAATCGCGAATTGTGCAGCCTCCGTTGTTACTTCCTGGCGAGATCGGATGATCCATTCTACAATGACGTCATTTATAGTGATAAAAGGCTTGCGCCTCTATCCTTAGCCAACGAGCAATAACAGGACCCGGTAGTACAAAGCATTTCCGACCGGGAGACCGTATGGAAAGAGAGGGAGCTCCATGGGAGGTACTGCAGGGTTCTACATGAGCCCTTTGTAGATTCAGTCGCCTCCCTCCACTGGCTACGTTTCGGCGACCTCTTCGGGGAAACCGAGGGTTTTATCGGTGCAATACAGGATCAGGTTATAAAGACCAACAACTATCGGAGATACAACCTAAAGGATGGCACCGTCGACATCTGTCGAGCTTGTCGCCATCCCGGTGAGTCACTTAGGCATGTCATCTCCGGTTGTTCGGCGCTTTCTAACTCTGAGTACTTGCACAGGCACAACCTAGTAGCCAGGATTCTACACCAGAAACTCACTCTGAAATACGGTCTCGTGGATCGGAATCTGCCTTAATAATAATGCCTTAATAATACCTAAACAATCTAGTTACTTGTGAGATACATTGTTTTCATGCGATGGCCAAGTCAATCAATTTATTTAAAACATAAAAGATTTTTAACATTGATATGGTCACTATAAGGTGTTATTTGGTTAGCTAATTACGTAATAACTTAAAACTGAAGGACCCTTAAGTAGGGACCAAATAAATTAACCAACTTGGTATTACATAGATCTCACAACTTTTTACGGTAGAACTGAGTTGCGAGACTTGGTTCATTTTATGGAGGCCCTTGGCAGGGGAGACCAAACGGCCGAGGGTTAGGGGGAAAGGGGAAGAAACCGGCGGACGATGCGAGCGGTATCGAGGAGCACCGACTTCTGCATTTGAGCCTGGAACAGTCCGTCACGGAGTCCCAGCCGCCTCAGATGACCCGAAAGGCTGACTGATAACAGCCCATTTGCAGAAACGACCACAGGAATAATTTCGGTCGGCAGACTACGTCGGTCACCTCGTGAGCCAGGTCCAGATATGTATTTTGTTAGCTTATCTGTTTCATCTATCACGAGGTTCGTCATACGGAATGGTAATGTCGATCAAAAATATCATTGACTGTCCCCGGTCCATCAGCACAATATCAGGCTTATTCGCAGGAATAATACTGTCTGTGATGATGGCCCGGTCCCATTAGAGCCTGGCGCGGTCATTTTCCAGCACGGCTTCTGGCAAGTACTTGTAATACGGCAATTTCCGGTCCACGAGACCGAATTTCAGAGCGAGCTCCTGGTGTAGAATTCTAGCTACTAGGTTGTGCCTGTGCAAGTACTCAGAGTTAGAAAGCGCCGAACAATCGGAGATGACATGCCTAAGTGATTCACCGGAATGGCGACAAGCTCGACAGACGTCGATGGTGCCATCCTTTAGGATGTATTTCCGATAGTTGTTGGTCTTAATAACCTGATCCTGTATTGCACAGACAAAACCCTCGGTTTCCCCGATGAGGTCACCGAAACGTAGACAGTTGAGGGGGATGACTGTTTCTACGAAGGGCTCATGTTGAGCCCTGTTGTACGTTCCGTGGAGCTCCTTCTCCTTCCATACGGTCTCCCCATCGAAATGCTATGTACTGCTGGGTCCTGCCATTGCTCGTTGGCTAAGGATAGAAGGGTAACCCCTTCATCACTAGAAATCACGTCATTATAGAATGGATCATCTGATCTAACCAGGAAGTAATGACGGAGGCTGCACACTTCACGATTATGCATGGCGAGCGCGCTCAGAAAGCCACGCCCACCATGCCTTCGCGGCAAGTAAAGCCTCATTACCGACGATCTCGGATGATGCATCCTATGGGACGTCATGGTTGTGCGGACTTTTCTATCCAGGGCGTTAAGTTCATATGAGGACAGGCATGACCCACTCGTTATATGCGTGTGTCTTATTCACACCGGACAAAAGGCTGCTAAGCACTTTGGTCAAGCGTGCATGAAACACGTCGCAAACTGACTGTTTCATACCAGCCTCATCGATACAAATGTTCTGTGACATACCCAGGTATTGGTATTTTTCAGTTCCTTAAGTTGACGGGCATAGATAAGTCTATGTCCTCAGAATTAGCAACCCTTACTCTTTTTTCATGGATGACCGCACACTTATCCGTCCTCAGC